AACCGGGAGGAGCGGTTCCCAGCAGCACTGGCATGCTCCGCTCAGGCAGCGTCCGTGGCCGGTCCCCGCTCTGCCTGTATGTTTTGTTTTGAGGAACAAACTCACTTCAGTGAGATCCAGCAAATGTACCCTGTGTACCTTCTGGTAAACCCTAACCCTCCAAGGGTGTTCTCCTTCCAGGAAGTCAACACAACACCCAGTGGGCACTCCCAGATCACGCCCCATCCATGCTGCATGTGCTACATGCACGGTTTATGTTCACTTTAAAAGTCAATGTTCAAGGCTGGCCCCATGGCCTTGTGGGTAAGGGAGCCAGAACCCCCATGGCCGACCACTGTTCAAATCTGGGCTCCAGCGGCTTGAAGAACACACACAGCACGTGTCTCCTGTGTCAGGCTGGCCTCTCGAGGGCAGAGTGCATCTGTCCACGCACAGCCCAGATCCTGACGGGACAGGGGAAAGGAGGAAAAGGCACGGCGTGACCCACCTCCCCATCTCTCTGCCTATCTCTGGCAAGTGCACTCTAATTACACTGAGGGGGAGGATGGAGCAGGCCTCCATCACACTCCTGGGAAAGTGTGTCCCCTCCAGAGGCGTGCCGGGCTGGAAGGCAAGCGATAGGCCATGGCGTGTCCTGGTGCTCGATGGGCCACTGACAGACGTGTGGTGGCGAGTCACGGTTCGCACTTCCCGCTTTCTCTGCTATTCCACGTGTCTCTGGACGGTCTTGGTCCTGCACCCTCAGGGGCACGGGGGAGGTGGGGCAGAGGGGTGGCACCTGACCCCACTTAGCAGTCCAGCCTCCCTGCACCGTCCTCGTGCTGGTGGCCCCGCTCTTTCTCTCGTGGGTGGAGTAGTCACAGCAAGGGAGCTTCTTTTTTTTTCCTTTTTTTTGAGAGGTTTTCGCTATAAGGGCGCGTGCGCTCGCCAGACAGAGAGAGAGACATAGAGACAGAAAGCGAGAAATCACGCCCCCAGGAGGGGTGGTCACGCCGCAATCCCTTCTCCTCCAGTCTCCTCTCGGGATCTTGGGCACGCATGCACATGCGCCCGGCATGAGTTTTAAGCCACCAGGTCCGGGACACGAACTGCGGTCGACTACGTGGGAGTCCAGTGACATAGCCATTACGCTAACTGCTGGTTCCCCTGAGAGCTTCTTGCTCAGGCTGAGCCCCTGAACATCATGAGTGACTGCTGGGAGAACCGGGAGGAGCGGTTCCCAGCAGCACTGGCATGCTCCGCTCAGGCAGCGTCCGTGGCCGGTCCCCGCTCTGCCTGTATGTTTTGTTTTGAGGAACAAACTCACTTCAGTGAGATCCAGCAAATGTACCCTGTGTACCTTCTGGTAAACCCTAACCCTCCAAGGGTGTTCTCCTTCCAGGAAGTCAACACAACACCCAGTGGGCACTCCCAGATCACGCCCCATCCATGCTGCATGTGCTACATGCACGGTTTATGTTCACTTTAAAAGTCAATGTTCAAGGCTGGCCCCATGGCCTTGTGGGTAAGGGAGCCAGAACCCCCATGGCCGACCACTGTTCAAATCTGGGCTCCAGCGGCTTGAAGAACACACACAGCACGTGTCTCCTGTGTCAGGCTGGCCTCTCGAGGGCAGAGTGCATCTGTCCACGCACAGCCCAGATCCTGACGGGACAGGGGAAAGGAGGAAAAGGCACGGCGTGACCCACCTCCCCATCTCTCTGCCTATCTCTGGCAAGTGCACTCTAATTACACTGAGGGGGAGGATGGAGCAGGCCTCCATCACACTCCTGGGAAAGTGTGTCCCCTCCAGAGGCGTGCCGGGCTGGAAGGCAAGCGATAGGCCATGGCGTGTCCTGGTGCTCGATGGGCCACTGACAGACGTGTGGTGGCGAGTCACGGTTCGCACTTCCCGCTTTCTCTGCTATTCCACGTGTCTCTGGACGGTCTTGGTCCTGCACCCTCAGGGGCACGGGGGAGGTGGGGCAGAGGGGTGGCACCTGACCCCACTTAGCAGTCCAGCCTCCCTGCACCGTCCTCGTGCTGGTGGCCCCGCTCTTTCTCTCGTGGGTGGAGTAGTCACAGCAAGGGCAGCCCACGGCTGCTGGTCACCCAAGGACAGAAAGCCCAGCTTCGACAGTCGTCCAGGTGACGACATCAGGGCCTAGGAGGCAACGGAGGCCTCCTGGTCTCCCCACCCATGTCACCCTCCACGGACACAGCACAAAACCCTCGAGAATGGCTTGCCACCCCGGAGGGGTGAGCACCGCCGTCCGGTCTGCTGGCCGACCCAGACATAGGCTCTGCTGTCGCTTCTCATGTTGTGGACGTCTGTGGTTGCAGCCTGGGCCCAATCACTGTGGGCACCTGGGTCTTCAGGGTGGCCCATCTTCCTCACAGGGGAGCAAGTGGCTGGACACAGATGGCACCTCACTGTCCATGGATGCTCCGCCCAGATGCCGCCACTGCAATCAGACCACGGAGGCCCGAGGAGGTGTGACCTCCCCAGGGACAGGTTGCGGGGCTGGGTACGAGCTGAGGACCGCCAAGGGCAGCCCCAGGGCTGAGTGCTATTGGCCTGTTTTTCAGATGAGGAGGCAGAGCTCAGGGTTCACACAAGCATGCCTGTCACAGAGCCAGGGAGGAGGGGTTCTCTGCACAAGTCCCAGCTCCACGCCATGACGCGACAGTGAGGGCTGTCAGCAGCTTGCTCACACCGAAAACGAGCTGGGAGGCCCAGAGCCAGCTAGTGCAACCCTGAGCTCCAACTCTGAGGACAAAGAAGGAAAATAAGGGTCCAGCTGTTGGTGTAATGGCTATGTCGCTGGACCCCCATGTAGTTGACCGCAGTTCGAGTCCCTGACCCAGTGGCTTAAACTCATGCTGGGCGCGTGTGCACCCAAGATCCCAAGAGGAGAATGAAGAGAGGGGATTGCGGCGTGGGCATCCCCCCTGGGGGGTGATTTCTCGCTCTGTCTCTCTGTCTCTCTCTGTCTTTCTGGCAAGTGCATGCACCCTATAGCAAAAACCTCTCAAAAAACCAACCAACCAACCAAACAAACAAACAAAAAAACAAAGCCAGGCATCAAGGGTAAAAACAAAACTATAAGGCTGGGGAGGTCACACCAAAAAGGGGAGGAGGAAAATAAATAACGCAGACAAAACGAAGAGCCTGAGCCGGCGAGCTGGGCCAACACAAAGCCATCAGAGCTGCTGTGGGTGTCGGGCACGCCCAGGATGCCTCCCTCCATGCCAGCCGGCTTCAAGGGCAGAGACGATGCGACGGGTCACAGAGCACACATGTACACTAGCAGGTTCATGGTCCCTTCCTGCCACTGACCACACCGCCCCTCACCTTACGAGCTGTGAAGGGCTGAGAGCAACCAGCAAAGAACACAGGAGGGGGCTGTGCAGACAGCAGAGGGCCTGGCTGCCCCCAGCCACCCTGCAGGACTGACGACGAAGCAGAACACAGTGTCCCCACCCCCCGCAGTTCCCGGCTACCATGTGGAGGTGACAGCTGTGTTGACTTCTCGGCAAGGACTGGAGCTGCGGCGTCTGATCTCAGGCCAGAGAGCTGCGTACAGAACGCGGCAGTGTCCTGTGGCTAGTCCTCTGCTAACGTCCACAGGGCAGCCCCCACCAACATCCACGGGACAGCCCCCCCCAACGTCCACGGGCAACAGCCCCCGCCAAC